TATCTTGAATGATTTATTTAAAACTGAGCTTAACACTTATTTGAGAAAAGAGAGGTCAAGGTCAAAGGAAAGGTTGAGGTCAAAATGCTGATGCAGTTGAAAAGCTTATATCAGTATGTATTTACTATAATTTTATTAGCATAGAAGTTCAATAAAAATATCAGAAATGGTTTATTTAAAATGTAGATAAACACTTGCTTAAAAAAGTGAGGTCAAAGGAAAAGTCAAGGTCAAAAAAGTTGATGCAATTGATATCTCTCAGCAGTATATATCAGCATGTGAAGTTTGATAAATATATCTTGAATTGTTTATTCAAAACTGATCTAGACACTAATTTAAGAAAAGTAAGGTCAAGGTCAAAGGAAACGTCAACGTCAAAAATTTTGATGCAGTTGAAAAGCTTACATCAGTATGTATCAGCATATGACGTTTTATTGAAGTCGGACATGACAAACACTATATGCCTCGGCCATATTCATGGCAGGGCATAAAAAAATTGAATCTACACTGTATGAGGATGTTTCCATATCAAAATGACTAAGTTAAAATTTTTGAAAATTAGGTAAAACATCAAGGTCAGATCAAAGACAGATGGATGACAACAAAATGTGATCAGAAAACCAGAAAATCACAAGTGAGCTAAAAACTGATGATCACAAGTACTTGGAAAGAGTTACAGTATTTGAAAAGCAGTTTTTTTTTTCATGGATTGTTTTCAGAAGCTGAAAAGGTATGACTTGTATCCATGTTGAAAAAACTTCACATTTCAGAAAACAGTATGATTAAAAATAGTTAATCAAGGTGCTTTGAGTAGCAAAATAAGCTAAACTGGTATAGCTAATTCAACCACAGGGCTTAGTGATTTTTAAAATGCACAACCTTTTCAACTCTTCATCATTCTTAAAATATTTATATCATCATTTCTGATTCAAGGGAGAACTAGAGATATGATCAGAAGTAATAAACATGTACATGTATATTGTATTTTTTAAGGACATACGCAACGTAGTTTGAACTTTATTGTCTTTTTCCCTGGAGTTGAAGAGTTCCAATACTTAAAGGAACTGTGTGCTACATTTTAATGTCTATATATGCTGTTGTACACTTCCTCTAAAACAAGTTTGGATAAACAAAACATTCAGAGTATATGTTTAGTATTTTTTGTATATTTTTCTTTGAATTATATAATAATTTTCATCAATTGATATCTTTTCGAAACCCCTGGTAATGCATACTGAATTTTTGTGTACGAACATCTGATGGCATTATAATCTTAAATTAAGAATATCTTATAAAATTATCAGTAGGTAAGGTACGTTGCGTATGTCCTTAAGTCATTAATGTTTGTTTGTTGTTAAATGTCCCTCTTGGGAATTTTCCACTCATACGGAGACACCACTCTTGGGAATTTTTCACTCATACGGAGACACCACCACTTAAAAATAATGAAGACGTACAAGTCGGATTTGAGGTTAACATTCATTTTAGAAATTTTCAACAATTACAACGTAAAGAGATAACTCCTTCCCCTTGCCCCTTCCCCTTCCCAGACCCCTGTTTGTTCATGTATGCAAACTAGTCTAATACTTTGGTTTGACATAAAAAAATGTGAATATATACAAATAGTTTAATGGTCCATCTCTTTGAATGATTTTCATTCCTAATTCTAGGAGGGTACATGGGTTGACCCAAATTCATGAATGAAATGTCAAGTAATCTTATCATTGATGCACTTTTATTTAATTTGATGTAGTCATATTATAAACATTTCCAGTTCATTAAGAGAGTGGGGATGACCTCCAGGGGTTCATAACCTTAAACCATTAGATGTACATAACAAAATAACACAAGAAACAAAATTATGTATAGTCAAATGGAAAAGTTTTCAACTATTTAGGAGTCACAGTCACATGATCATTTGTCATTTCAGGGACAGGGAGCGGCTAGGGAGATTGGAACACCCCCCCCCCCCCTGGAATTTGCAGAGTTATTTAAATAGGACTATATACTGATTTACAGAAGCAAATAAAAATGACTTTGGATGCCCTCCCCCTTTAAAAACATGGACCCCACCATCATTGTGTTTATTTTGTTATTTTTGCTCCTCAGGAAATTCTGGACTGGAATTTTTTTGGACCGAGGTGTGGACCCCCCCCCCCCCCTCCGGAAAAAAATTCCCGGAACTGTGCCCGTAACTGAATGTAATGTCGACAACGGGAGATAACTCTTCAGAATGTGAAATTCGTCTATTGTGGCATCCGATGATCCACTCTCTAACCATTGGCTCATACATTCAGTGTCTGAGAGAGAAACGAACGACAACTCTGCATAGGAGATTGCCGATGATCTTTGATCCTTTTTAAACTTTAACCTAACCATTTGCATTTCGGTTTATTTTACCCCAATCTATACTTAAACTTGTACTTACCGACTGTCATAGGTCCTGTCAACTTCATGAAATATAATCCAATTAAAACACAAAATGAATTAATTTCCACTGATATACATGTAACACTGCACCATGTCACATGGCATGTGCAATCTAAAAATGATAATGGTAAAACTAGTACTAGTACTGGTAGGGTGACGCAAGCCCAATGTGATGTAGAAATTTTCAAAAGGGTGTTCACATACATGTACAGTAAAAGAACAAATTTTAAATTAACATAACAAACGATGTTTTAACATAACTTTGCCATCTAGGCCTATTTCCAAAAACAGGCAAATTGTGTGTGTGTGTTGGGGGGGGGGGGGTGACAAAATTGATTGGGTTTGGCTTTTAAAGGAGGTTTTTGCCTAATCAAATACTAAGAAAAGTTTGCACATTTTGATAAATTCATCAAAAACGCTTTGTACTAAAATAATATTATTTGTTGTTGAGAAAATAAATTTAAAAAGTTCCAATTATGGGCCAAAAATTTATACCCCCCCCCCTTTTATCAAATTTGACGAATACATGTACTGTGTAAATTATAGAATTATTTGGACTTTTTCCTTGGTAAGCCCAATATATGAAGGAGTGTGCATTTAGAGGCAAACACCTTAGTGCGGGTATTACTGTCTCATGACAGCATCTAGTTTTAATTCCCCTCCCCTTATCAAATTAAAAATGCTTTTGATACAACCACCCATCTTAATTTTAAAAAATATGGTTTTTAGTTATATAATAGAGAGGAGAGAGAGAGAGAGTTTTATATACTTTTTTCAAATATTGTAATTTTCTGATTTCTGAGTGTTGGTTTTTGGCATCTATCTAAAGCAGGGTTCCTACACAACACTGAAAGCCTTAATTGTAGTGATTTGCGTATCTGTTCTGACGCATGACACTGTAATCTTTAAAGTTCAAGTAAAACTAATATTCTTATACAAATATGATGACCGTCAAGCGAAAACCAGGCTTAAGTGCATTGTTACGTTATCGAGAAATCAAGCGGTAAAGTCGACGTCATATTTTAACGTCATGATGGAATCTTTTTCTGCAACCCTGTTTCATCTTTGAGATTTGATGATTTACTTGAGGGATCATGGAACTGTCCGTAAGTACTGTTATAAGCCTACATGTTCAGAGGGTCATTAGTCTATCCGTTGACGCGTGTAAAATTGATGTTAAACATCTAAACACATGTTAAAACTTAAACTGCCAATTTTCGCCTATCATTCACAGTACTTTGTGACATGCCAGCTTGCACTCCTCACAATCTTTTTTCGCTATCTTCATGTTTCAATTCCACAGCGTTTAACAGGAAGTGTAGACATGAAAATAACACTTAATTACTCTATGTTAATATGAAAAATATTTGTTTATGAAAATGTTTGTATGACGTATTAAAAAAAGATCGGAATATGAACAAAGTTATCTGTTTAGTTATTGTTTGTGGTGTTGACATGTTTATAAAAATACACGTTTCTCTTTAAATGCCAACATTTTCACAAATATCCAGAGTCGATCAAAGCATAAGATAACTTTTGATTGCCTAGCTACACGGTACGTTCAATTGTAGCTATATCAAGCATCGTTAGTTCGCGTTGTGTAAATAAAGTTTTTTTTGAGAAGGAAATATGTGTCAACGTTTCGAAACGGTTTATAATTGGATTTTAGAATTAACATTATATTTTTGTTTTTTGCAGTTTTGCAGATTTTTGCCGTTGTCATTTAGTAAATATCAAAATAATTATCTATGTAATTAAGGGCGGATCCAGTAAGTTTTCACGGAAGAGATGATATCATCAACCACAAACAAAAAAAAAACAAAACAAAAAAACAAAAAAATCAGAAATTATTTGACAAGCACAGTGGTAAATAAAGGAAGAAGAAAAAAAAGAAAAAGTAACGCCAATGTGAAAAATTATTTTGTGCGTGTGTGTTTTGTTGTGTATTCACTCGAATAAATGAGATTTATAACACAGCTCCATGCAGTTACAAACTATTTATTACGGAAGTACATGAGTAACATTTAAAACCAAAAAGTACATGTATAGAGAATTCCGGAATACTACATTCCTCCCCCTTTAAATGTGATGGACACATAGTTCATACTTCAATGATTAATAAAAAATCAAATTTTGACTAGTAGAAGGAATATCAATATTAATGGACATCTGCATATTGACTTGACGAAATACATTCATGACTAGACTTTGACTAGACTTGTGAACAATCTAAATTCATATTTTAAGAAGAATAAAAAAAAGTGAACATTTTTGCACTACTTGGTTACATGTAACATAAAAAATCACAAAACATTACAGTTTCTAATAATCAAACACTGCATGCATCTATAAAATTGTCAGTCTATCATTACTACTGGTAACGTTTTGGCAGAACATTTCGAGTGGTGCGGGTTGGATAGCGTTTTTCGGACACGGAAGTTGCTGCGGGTGCATATGTCGGTATAGGGGTCAGTTCTGGTGATTGTTTCTTGGTAGGGGTGGCGATTAACTTGTCCTTGCTCTGCTGATCACTATCATGATCGTCTGATGTTTCGGCCGCCAATGTATCATCATTCGATCGAATTGGTATTTGCGCAGAGTTGGTGAAATCTGCAGATCTTATCTGGTCTGTATGACGCCGCCATGTTGTCCCTGGTGTAATTTCCACTTTGTACGAAAGAGGTCCTGTTTTTTGAGTCTATTGTCCCTGAAACCCATTTCTCATTATTGCTGCGATAGTCACGCACAGCAACCTTGTCACCGGTATTGAACTGTCGAACGGGTTCGGACGTGCGGTAATGCATGCTCTCTTGTTTAGCTTCCACTGTGTTGCGAACATTCGGCTTCAGTAGTGTGAGTCTTGTACATAGTTCACGTCCTAAGAAAAGCTTAGCCGGCGTTTCCCCTGTTGTTGAATGCGGCGAACTTCTGTATGTGAGTAGGAAGTTGGCAAGACGCTTAGTGATGGAAGTTTCTTCCACTTTCGAAGCACGCGTTGACTGTTTCAGAGTCTGGACTAGTCTCTCTGCTAGCCCATTTGTTCTCGGATGATACGGAGCTGACGTAGTATGACGAATTCCATTGTACTTCATGAAGTCATGGAAGGTTTCTGAGACAAACTGCGGTCCGTTGTCCGAGACTAGTTGATCTGGTAGACCGTTCCTTGAAAATATCCTACGCAGTACATCCACTGTGCGGTCTGCAGTTGTTGTCGACATCTGGACAACTTCGGGCCATTTTGAGAATGCATCGACTACGACGAAAAAACGTTTCCTTGGAACGGGCCAGCGAAGTCTACGTGTATCCTTTGCCATGCACGTTGGGGCCATTCCCACGGATGAACAGGTGCTTCTGGTGGCATGGGTCGGTTCTCCTGGCAACCCTTGCAGCGTTTCACCAGTGTTTCTAAGTCTTTGTCGATACCTGGCCACCATACCAAACTTCGAGCCACAGTTATCATCTTGACAATTCCCGGGTGTCCTTCATGAAGTTCCTCTAGGACACGCGAACGAAGGTCCTGGGGAATGATAACACGAATTCCCCATAGTAAGCATCCCTGATAAATTGAGATCTCATTTCTGCGAGAAAAGTATGCTTTCAGTTCTTCACTTAGGTTATTTGCAGATGCTGGCCATCCTGAAGCTGTCATGTCATATACCACTTTCAGAGTGGTGTCTTTTACGGTTCCTCTCTGAACTTCTTTACTACTAACAGGTAGGCTTTCAAGTTGCTGAATCATATACAGTTCAGTTACATCATAAGCCTCTTCATTGGATCCTTCGCCTTCTGTTAGAACAGGAGGTCTTGATAAGGCATCAGCGTTGCTGTTTCTTTGTGTTTTTGTATCGAATATCGTATTGGAATTCTGACAGAAAAATCGCATATCTCTGTAGTCTAGCTGCTGTAGTCACAGGTAGTCCTTTCTCGGGATGAAAAATATATACTAGAGGTTGATGATCAGTCACTAAGGTGAACTTTCTCCCATACAAGTATGCGTGAAATTTCTTCACCCCCCACACTAATCCTAGCGCTTCCTTATCAATTTGTGCATACTTCCTCTCTGTTTGACTAAGTGATCTAGATGCAAAAGCAATCGGCTTTTCAGAACCATCCGGCATCACGTGAGACAGCACGGCTCCCAGTCCATAGGGAGAAGCATCTGTTGCCAGTGTTACCGGCTTCTGGGGATCATAGTGCACGCGCACTTGGTTTGACGTCACAAGTTCCTTGATGCTCTGCATGATTTTGACCATACAAATTTGGAATTATCCTTCAGAAGGTCATATAAGGGCGCTGAGTGAGTTGACAAGTTCTCCATGAATCATCCATAGTAGTTTACGAGTCCTAAGAAAGCTCTGAGTTCAGACACATTCTTTGGTTCTGGAGCATTTAGCACAGCTTCGATTTTCTTTGATGTTTTGTGGAGTCCTTCTGCATCTATCACATGGCCACAAAATTCAATTTTGTCTTTTAGGAACTCACTCTTGTCAACATTTGCTTTTAACCCGCAACGGTCAAGTCGCTTCAAGACTTGTTCTAAGTTTTTCAGGTGTTCTTCAGGTGTTCTCCCAGTAATGATCATATCATCCATGTTGCAGTGTACTCCCTTAATTCCTTGAAGAACTTTGTCCATGGCTCTCTGCCATATCGCTGGTGCCGAGGCTATTCCGAACACAAGCCTGTTGTACTGAAATAGACCACGGTGAGTATTTATCGTGAGATAATGTCTGTCCTCTTCTCTCACTATCATTTGATGATAAGCATTCTTCAAGTCCAGTTTTGTAAACTGTCGACCTCCCGCCAGACTTGCAAATATGTCTTCGATCTTGGGTAGAGGATACTGGTCTATGTCCAAGACGGGATTCACTGTGACTTTGAAGTCACCACAAATTCTCACAGTTCCATCCTTTTTTTGGTATTGAAACAATGGGAGTAGCCCATTCACTGTGTTCTACCTTACTGAGAATTCCAGTCTTGATAAGACGGTCCAGTTCCTGATCAACTTTGGAGTGCAACGAATACGGTACCACAGGAGCTTTGCAAAACTTGGGCTTCGCCGACTTCTCTACTTTTATTCTGGCTGATATGTCCCTTAGCCTGCCCAGGTCATCAGTGAACACGTTTTTGTACTTCTCAATCACTTCGCTTACGCCTTGTTTTCTAGTTTCTAATGTCTTGATTTCTGCCCAGTTTAGTCTGAGGTTCTTTACCACTCTCGACCAAATAAAGGTGGTCCCCCTTTGTCGACCACATACAAGTTTAACTGCTGTTGCTGATCATCCATCTCTACGTTGACTACACACACACCTAGTGGGGTGATATTTTCTCCTGAGTATGTTCTTAGGTTTATGTCGGTGTCTATCAACCTTACACTGGAAAAAATTTTGCTGATAAGTTTTTCGGTTGATTACTGAAATCGCTGATCCGTGTCCAGTTCCATGGGAAATTCTTGACCATTCACGTGGGGCTTTATCCATATTGCATCCTTTAGTCCTCCCATAGCATAGCATAGTGAAAACATTGGTTCGAAATCATCCGATACTTCCACTTCATAAACATGTTTACTGTTTGTATGTAGTGGTTTCATGGTGGCTGGTTTGGAACGGCATGTTCGTTGTATATGCCCCTTTTTCCCACACCGTCGACATGTTTCATGGATAAATTTGCAGTCATCTGAGGTATGGTTTCCGTTACATCTGTAGCACCTCTGGGCTACCGTAGTTTGTTTTTGTTGAATTCTTTTCTTACCCTGGGGTACACTTAGTTTGTTGACACCGGACGTGATGGAAAGGTGTTTCCTTTGAATCTCCAGGGCGTCATTAGTCGCCTTCTCCATCGGAATGGCTATCTCGAGCGCAGTTTGGTAAGTGAGGTTTTTCTCCGAGAGAAGTTTCTTTTGAATATGTTCATTTTTCAATCCACAAACAAATCTGTCCCGTAGTGTGTCATTAAGGACGTCTTAAAATTCACAGAATTCACTCAGTTTACGAAGAGCTGCAATGTACTCACGGACGCTCTCACCCTCCTGCTGGTCCCGCTTGTGAAATCTAAACCTTTCTACTATAACCAACGGTTTTGGAGAATAGTGGTCCTTCAGTGCTTTCGTAAGTTGCTTGTACGTCCTAGCCTTGGGTAATTCAGGCGCTGTTAAGTCTCTTAACAATGCGTATGTTTTGGGGCCCACGAGGCTCAGTAGCGCGGGAACTTTTTTGTTGTCGTCCACTGCGTTTGCTGTGAAGTAATTGTCCAGCCTTTCTTCGTAGGTTGTCCATGTTTCGATTGCCGGATCGAACACATCGACTCTTCCTATACGTCCAGTGGCCATCCTCGTCGCCAGATATGTTGTGTATTCACTCGAATAAATGAGATTTATAACACAGCTCCATGCGGTTACAAACTATTTATTACGGAAGTACATGAGTAACATTTAAAACCAAAAATTACAAGTATACAGAATTCCGGAATACTACATGTTTGAGTAGAAGGGGGTGCTAGGACACTTTTTACTGATCAGTTACAACCCGCTTTTTTTCTCCACATAATTTTAAAAAGAGATTTTTTTCCCGGGATGGGGTTCTGAAAACCGCGGGGGTCCGCCCCTCCATTCCCACTGCATCCGCTTCTGGAAAAGCTACTTATTTTAAAAAAATATATACATTTTATTTGTTAAAATAAGAATAATGATATAAGTTATAAACATTGTGAGAGAATGAATACGATCTTTATTGGGGTAAATTCGTCAGCTTTACTGACAAAAATTTAAAAATAAACTAAGTTTAAAGCAGACATTGATTTGATTGATAATGCCGGAAATACATTCAAAATTTTTAAATTGAATAATACAAATTTTAGGACCTACGCAGCACAGTTAAGGCTACAAAAAGGGGACGGAGCCTAACTTGTACGGGAAATATTAACTATGACATCATACAAAACCAACAATTCTTAACAATACTATAAAATGAAATGATTTGCTATTTTAAACTATAGGAGACCATCAAACTACATCAAAACGTACTTGTCTTTAGTTAAATCCCACATAGCAAGGTATAAACAAGTCACTGATCGTGATGCACGTGTCGATGTGACGTCATTTCGTAAAACTTGACGCAGTTTGTATGCAGTGAGAGGCGGATCAAGTAATATTTTCACAACGAAAAATGTATTCTATAATTAAATAAAATTTTATCTGAAGATATTTAAGAGGCCATTAACTTGGATGCAATGTCTTCTTTATGATTTTATTCGTATATATTCCGTACATCTCCTATATAATTGATACTGCCGTATATTTGTATGCAAGTACATCGGAGGGTAATGTAAGGGTCATGATAAATCGATCTACTGCAAGGACATACACTCAATGGATCACAGTACGCTTTTACATATAAACTCTACAAGTATAAAGGTATCCGAAAAGTGCTGCGATCCTGGTGAAATCTTGAAGGTTAATTAATTATATCTATATTTAATGCCGTTGACCAGCAAAAAAATACATCATGCAGTCATACATGTATAAATATGATTTTAACAATGAAATAGCAGAATCTATAGAGGATCGCAGCACTTTTCAGAAACTACAATGCCTGTTGAAAAAATTTCTACACTAAATTTAGTATTTTAACTTGATTATGCCCTTGCACTAGTGAAATTTATAGGTGACCTCGATACTGCAAGTATATGCGCTGTATCACGTGACTGCCGCATCACGTGACAAGTTTAAATAATATATCTTTTCGTCCTCAATATGTAATTATTAACCATAATTACATTTGTCCAATATAAGTAAAGTACTGAAAAGAATCGCCATTCTGATTAAGAATATATTTTTAATTATAAAAAGTGCTGATATTTCCATTGCGCACCTTAACTACTGCGTAGAAAATATCAACACAGAATATTTCCCCACAAGAAATCGCATTAATCAGAACAAAGATACGTGTTCTATCAATGATACCAGCGATGAAGGCAAATCAGATGACAATTCAGCAAATTTAGAGGCACGGATCCACATGTACGTCGAAGAGCAGATGAACGAAAATCTTTCTGATAATAGTGACGATGAAGACGATATCAACGTTTTGTATTATCCATGCACTGAGGATGCAAAATTGCGCACTTTGATTGAAAAGGGATGTGGATATGCGAAAAACTGTATTTCTACATTTAGTTTTTCGGATATCAGAGAACATGTTATTTCCTTATCCGAGATGACAAAAAACGAGAGATTTTTACATCATGGCGAAATTAAAGGTAAAGGCTAGGCGCAGACAGTCAAAAGATGAAGGTGCAACTAGAAAACGTCTTGGATACCTCTATGAATTTAAAGATGTTGAAGTTTGCCGACAAACATTTCTGATTACCCACAACATTGGCAAATTTACATTAGAATCTCCATTTCGTCATCTTACAACAGATGGGTTGGTTTCGCGAACTCATGGAAATAAACATAAGCGGCCGAGAAATGCATACAGTTTTGATGTCTTTACAGGAGTAGGACGTACAACCTTTAAAGGAGTCTGACAGAGTTGCTGTCCCTATATAAAATTTATGCCCCCCCAGACTGACGTGTGTCCTGTCTGTGAACAGCACAAGATGACATTCAATCGGCGATGACGGAAAACGAAAAGTTAGCGGCGCTCGACCAATATAGTATACACTTGCATGAAGTTAAAGCAGAACGACAGGTACTACAGTTCCACGTTATTAACCTTCATTTAATTACTGATGAAAATATTCCAATATATACTGTACGATTTACAAGTACATTGTATATTTTAAAGGTTGATATTCCGATATAAGCTGCATTAGAAAAAAAATATGTTTTCTCTTTCCATTAGACGATTTCAAATCTTTAAAAAATATACATGTATATTCTTTTTAAATGACAGTTGTATAACCAGTGTGTTACAAATGCAAGAGATGAGATAGCTGAGCACCCGTACCGGTAAATCCAGCCCCAGGAATGTCGGTGGACCTACAACATGTTCATTATACATTCGACTACTCTCAAGCTGTATCTATCCCGCATCACGTATGCCAAGTCGGACCTTTATACTTCGCTACTCCTAGAAAGGTCCAGCTGTTTGGAATTGCTATGGAAGGTTAGTTTCTGTATTTAATATATTTAAAATTGTTATATATTCGATACTGTCTTTGTAAGAACATACACTCCCCCCCCCCCCAAGAGAAAAAAAATCAGAAGGGGATTTTAGCAATAATGATTGCATTTTACAAAGGTATAAGGAAGCAGTTTAACTTTCTTAAAGACGAGAATTCAACACCAGGGGAAAACGGAACAAAGGTAAAGGGCGCAATTGGCGTGATTTCAATGCTTTACTACTGTTTTGAGAATTTTGGACTGGGTGAAAAAGAATGTCGCTTACACTGTGATAATGCTTCAGGTCAGAATTAAATTAGAAAGATTTTAATTTAAAAAATACTATGGAATCATTTGAATTCGTTGGGGGCAATGTTCAGGGACAATCCAAATCTAATTGGTTTGTGGGGTTGTAATCTTGTAACTCGTACTTTAAAAGAAGGAGCGATACGTTGACAAAGGGGACTATAATTAGTGGAGAAGGGTTGACCCACGACTGTTGAAATCCATGAACCAACGAACAATGATGATTCCGCAATATGAACAAAATATTACCCTTGCATATTATTTTTTGAAGTGCATATATTTCTCTTTTAAGGGGAAAGCAAAAACAAATTCATGCTTGCATATTTAATGTGGAGAATGCTGACTGGCAAGCATTCCAAAATAAATTTGCATATGCAAGTTCCCTATCATGGCAAAAGCCTGGTAGATGCTGGTTTTGCCTACATCAAAAAATCATACAGAAGGGCTGAGGTCGACTCTTTGGAGCAATTAGCATCCGTGGTTAGGAAAATCGCGAGATCCAATGAAGTCATTGTATTTGGTGGGGCTGGCGGAGAATGGCTCGATTGGAAGACACTTCATTCCTTTCAAGGGCATCAGAAAATATAGACGCTTTGTCTTCCAAGCAGATAAACCAGGTATAATTGGCAAAAATATTTGATTTATTTCCACTTACATGTTGGGAATGTTTATACGTTCCTGTATTATCGATATGCTAAATTAAAGCTGACATGAACTCTTGAAAATGTGATATTTTCATCCTTGTACGACTTATTTCATTCCCGCACTCCCTTTTCCGCCATATTTCTTTCAGATTCGCTCAGTTATTTTACCGGCTATATAAATCCTGATGCCTTTTTTTACACTTGAGTGATTTTCTAGCCTGGCTGTCGGCATGTACACATCTCCGATAGCAAAGGTTTGGAACACGTCATGAACTGACCGAGAACGTAGGCCTGTATCTCCGATAAAGCAGTTTTGGAACATGCAATAAATCTAACAATCCTACCAAAACTAGGAATTTTACTGAAAACTGGAAAGATATATAAATTTTGAATAATTTTGATGCAATGCATAAAAATCAAAACGGTAAATGCATGTTTGATATACATTACATATATATTTGAACAATAAAGAAGCGACCACATGTATTTTTTTCCAACAAAAACCCCACTGTACTGTTGAGCTTTATGCATGCTTCACGGTATAAACACATACTATGCAACTTACGCATTGAAGTAATACATGCATGCCGAGAAAACGCGTTGAACGCTTTATACTCATCTGCCTGAAATACAGAGCTCGCTACAAGGATGTGCACATGTCGAAAGAATTACTTCTTATTTTCCTTTTATTGAAATATGCATCACAGAAGAAATAACTCCATTTATAACTCAACGGTAAACAAATTGTCACTAGCACTTGAACACACGTGGTCCCTGCCGATCAGCATTTTTGGTCAGGGAAAATATCGAAGGTGGAAATGACACTGGTATTTGCCTGATTAGACAATATAGTCACGCAAATAAAACGTTTCAGAAATCGAAGTAACTGTTGTCAGTACATGTAGTAAATATGTTCATGAATGTGGCTTTATTACAACAAAATTATTACATAAACATGCATTCTTGTTACGGATCTTACATCTTTTAAAGAAAATGAAAGGGGGGGGGGGATATGTAGAATACATTTTTCAATATATTTTAAACAAACGTCGAAAAAGGTAGGATTTTCCTTGATCAAATATATTTAAATACTTGCAATGAACAGGCCTCAACTATTTTAGATATAAAACTGATATATCTTAAATTAACACACACTGAATAATTTGTTTCTGTAGAGAATTTCAAATCAGGGCCCTTTTAGGCGTCACGAATTACAAGCACGATTGATACAATTACCAACAAGCACAGACATAATTATGTGTATATAAAATAATCTACAGTACATATTTTTGTATATATTGAAGTTGAGTAAGTATTACACTATTAGTATATGTCAAAGTAATATTGATAATTGAAATAGTTCTACCGTGTACCCAAATGTGATGTGGTGTGATTCAACAATCTTCGAGCGCATTGCCAAAGATATCACGAGGCGATGCAAAAGTACTAATTATTACATTACGTAAGTTTTTTTTTTAACACCTACACATATTTACACGTTTTAGATATTTAAAGAAATTTTGTGATGTGACTGAATGATTAAAATATGGTTGCGTGCATGTGTATTATTTCTTTAAATATTATATAAGTAATAGTCAAAGTTTATAGGAACGGAAAACAATGTGCCCCTGACAGTGCCCCCCCCCCCCCCCATACACACACAGTATTTTTTTTTATTTTGATATTTTCTTTCTTGTCTAAAAAAATTTCTGGTAGGAACCCTCTGTGCTCTTCGGAGGTATAAAGAAACAAAAAACTGAATTTGTTTCCTCTGGAAAGTACACGAGAAGGGTCCACATGTTTCCATTCCCGTGAAATATATTTTTCACAATTGTTTTGTTCCCTTTTCGTTTGGGTATGTAGGGTTTTTAAGGTCTTCCGTCTTCACGGAAGACCTTATAGTGATTCTACTGTTTCTTCTTCTTATTATTATTAAGGTCTTCCATCTTCACGGAAGACCTTATAGTGATTCTACTGTTTCTTATTATTATTAAGGTCTTCCGTCTTCACGGAAGACCTTATAGTGATTCTACTGTTTCTTATTATTAGGGTCTTCCGTCTTCAGCGGAAGAACCTTCTATTATTCTTCGGTTTCTTTTTTACCTTTATTATTATTATTATTATTATTTTTATTCTTTTTTCTTCTTACAAAATTTGTGCAGACGATTTCTCGGAGATGGCTCGTTCGATTTTATTCAAATTTTCACGGTAGATGCGTTGACATCTGAAATTAATTCCGGCAAGTCTGTATAGGGATATCTACTTCCGGTCGAAAGTTATCGCCCTTTTATCCAAATTTAGAGGACCTCCTTGTCTGCGATGGAACTCAAAAACGGCTTAAGATAGAGCGTTGAAATTTTCAGTGATGATAGAGGACATGTTGCCATTTTGCACCTGGGTTTAGATATTTTCCGGAAGTGCCTAGTATGGAAGCTCGGTAGGGGTCGAAATTTAGGACACGAATTATAAGTGAATTTTTGAGACATTTTGTATCATATCTTTTAAAGTATAATTATTTTGTAATAACATACTGAACAATATTTGTGCAGAATGACAAGATCTTTAATATGATATCAAGAAAAAAGGGCTGACCTATCATATTAGGGGCCGAGAGGGGCCAAAAGTATTAAATCAATAACTCTTTAACGATCAATATTTTAGTATACATTACTGAAGCAAAAATGTTTATCTTAACAATTAACAACTATATATTATAATATTTATGTCATATGTTACATAATTAGGGGCCTCAAGGGACCAGAATGCTAAATCTTTGACGGTCTATATCTTGAAAGTGAGAAATATTTTGATAAGCAACATTGAATAAAAGATGTTCAAAATAATGTTCTAAACAATATTTAACCTTTCAATTTTTGCTAAACTTCCCCATTAAGGAGTTGAAGGGCCGGCCCCTAAATATATCTTTTGCATATAGCTCGGAAACGAAAAAGAATTTTTGAATAGTTGTTGAACAAAAAGTGTTCAAAATCATGAGTGCTTTAAAGTGATATGAAGAAAAAGGGGCTGGCCCCTCAAAATAGGGGCTGAGAGGGGCCGAAAGTCTTTGAAAAATAACTCTTTAACGATCAATATTTTGTAATGCATTACTGAAGCAAAAATGTTTATCTCAACAAATTACAACTATATATTATGATATTCCAATCACATGTTACATAATTAGGGGCCATAAGGGGCCAGAATGCTAAATCTCTGACGCTTTATATCTCAAAAGTGGGAAATATTTTGATAAGCAATATTGAACAAAAGATGTTCAAAATAATGTTCTAAACAATATGCAACCTTTCATTTTTTGTTAAACGTCCCCATTAAGGAGTTGAAGGGCCGGCCCCTAAATACTTCCTTTGCAAATATCTCAGAAACAAAAAAGAATTTCTGAGTAGTTGTTGAACAAAAAGTGTTCAAAATCATGAGAGCTTTAAAGTGATATGAAGAAAAAGGGGCTGGCCCCTCAAAATAGGGGCTGAGAGGGGCCGAAAGTCTTTGAACAATAACTCTTTAACGATCAATATTTTGTAATGTATTACTGAAGCAAAAATGTTCATCTCAACAATTCACAACTATATTTTATGATATTCACATCATATTTACATAATTAGGGGCCATAAGGGGCCAGAATGCTAAATCTTTGACGCTTTATATTTAAAAAGTGGGAAATATTTTGATAAGCAATATTGAACAAAAGTTATTCAAAATAATGTTCTAAGCAATATGCAACCTTTTGATTTTTTCTAAACATCCCCATTAAGGAGTTGAAGGGCCGGCCCCTAAATATATCCTTCGGATATATCTCGGAAACGAAAAAGAATTTTTGAATAATTCTTGAACAAAAAGTGTTCAAAATCATGAGAGCTTTAAGGTGATATCAAGGAAAAGGGTCTGACCCATTAAATAAGGGGCTGAGAGTATACAATCAATAACTCTTTAATGATCAATATTTTGTAATATATTACTGAAGCAAAATAGTACTTCTTCACACACTTTATCTAAATAACATGATGTTGATATCATATATTACGCAGTAAGGGGTCTTAAGGGGGCCAGATTGCATAATCTATGGCGCAATATATCTCGAAAATGAAGAATATTTTGATAAACAGTATTAAAGAAAAGACGATCAAAATAATATTCTGAACAATATGCACTCTTTCAATTTTTGCTAGACGTCCCAACTTAGGACTTGAAGGGCCGGCCTTTAATATTTCTTTTGCATATACCCCGAAAACAAAAAAAGAATTTCTGAATAGTTGTTGAACAAAAAGTGTTCAAAATCATGAGAGCTTTAAAATGATATCAAGAAAAAGGGGCTGACCTCTCACATTAGAGGCCAAGAAGGGGCGAAAGTCTTTAATCTATATTCCTTTAATGATCAATATTTTTTAAAACATTATTAAAGGAAAATTGTTCGTCTTAACAATTTATTTATATCATTATATTTGAACGAAAATCTCAGTCAAATTCTTATCTCATCTCATCAAAAATCGGACGGAAGACCCACTCGTTGCTCGCAACGAGATCTCATCTAGTTATTATTATTATTCTTGTTATTATTTTTTTGACTTTCTAATTTTGTGCACGCGATTTCTCAGAGACTATTGGGTTGATTGGGATGAAATTTGCAGGGAAAACGTGTCATAGGCTGAAGTTATTTTATCCGGGAGCAAATTTCAAAAATCACACCCGGTGCCAAGTTATGGACCATTTCCTGATTTTAAAATGAAATTTTGTCCAGGGATAATCTCAAGAACGGCTAAAGATATCAATGTCAAACTTTCAGAGATAATAGATCGTGATAAAGACTTGCCGGGAAGCTTATTTTTGTACGCCGTCGGCACTTCCTGTCGCTACAGGAAGTGGTTTTCAAAAATCAATTTTTTCAACTTTTTTGTTTTTAAATATTTTTCTGCGATATTAGTAGGGATAATA